TATCAGAGGGTATCCGACGTCATAGATACACGTCCTGTAATTGGCTGGATACCCTCCAAGGTATCCAAATACCTCATTAAGTTACTATTTTTAGTAACATTTGAACCGCGGACCGTATCAGAACACCGCAGACGCATTTAAAAACATTTTTCCGATCGGGTTACGTAACCTCGGGTTATGCCTTCGGAAAGCTCTCGGCTCATCTTCGTCGAAAGTAATTCAATGCTTTAAAAATACGTCTAATGTTACATTCAGAGCTGTGAATTTAAAATTTACGAAAGAATTTGCCTTCATTCATCTTAGTAAACTCAAATTTTCACTATTTTTGTAAACAGAAATGAATTGCGCGAAAATATATTAATGTTGAATTTTTCCCCAAAACTATTTTAGTATGCATAATCGGAAAAATCTGACCGTATCTTGAGCTACACTCGATACCCCCTGGATCCGCCCCTGTCGGGGATTACTATAAATTTTGCGTATCAAATGAGCTTTCGCGCGTTCTGATTGGCTAGTTGACTAGTAAATCTCAGGGCCATAGGAAGCTCTTTTCGATTGGGGGGCTGAAAGCGAGGGCCGAAGGCCCGAGGAAATTTTTTAATTTAGAGTCTCTGAAATGCCATTTCCTAGACTTTGGGGAAGATTTGACAGAATTCTGATAGTCAGAAAACAGCGCTTTAGTATGTCGAAATTTACAATGTAGTATACTAAATGGCCGAAGGCGTATTTAATTAACTATATATTGAATAAGTTGCAGAAAAGTGTGGGTAATACAGTACCTTCATTCTTTGCAGTTTGTCACGGATTAAATGATAAAGGTCTCGGCATGATTTTGAAAAAGGATTATTTGCAAATTATTGAGGGGGGGGGGGGGTCGCAGCCCCCCTTGCCCCCCCTCCCCCGCAGTTGCTACGGCCCTGAATCTGACGCATTATTTACCACGTAGTAAATAATGCTTTTCAAAAAGAATGATTCCGCAAATTTGGTTTCAAAATCGACGAAATATTGAAATATTTGTCCCCACCGAAAAAAGCACAAAATGTTGCATTTAACTTGGAAGGTAGGATTCCTTTATCATTTTACTGTGTCAAACATATTCACGGACAATTTAGAACTTATTTAAAACACCGAAACATTCACTTCGAACAAAAAGCAAAAACTATCCCGACTGTTGGGCAAAACTGTTCAAAACCTTGCAGTGATATATCTTTTAAAACCATTTTGTTTTGTATCCTGTAGGCATCTCAATTTGTACGATACTATTTCTTTTAATATGTCATGTTTTCATTGTGCTGTATAGTGTCCTACCGCTGTATTGTGTTTTTGAAACTTGTATTAAAAGTGAAAAGTGTATTAAAACTCTATTTCGAGACATTCGAACAATTGTTTTACATTCCACTTTAACCAATTTTTTCAGCCATTTCTTCAACAAATTAATGTTGAAAAGTCATCCCATCATTGTGTTTATATTCTAAGCAGAAATCGAGAAAAACAGCTTTGTAATCGCAATAAAGTCACACAGGAAGCAATTTTGAAAGCGTGCGTGTACAAGAAACACTGCAACACTAAAACAGTAACCGTGAAACCGACCGAAAACAGTTTTATTTCCGAATTTTAACTAAACTGATATTTGGATATTTTGTTTTATTCATTAAAAATTTATACTAAAACAATTATTCGCCCCAGGCTCAGTGATTACGGTGAATATTCACCTCGACTTCGTCTCGGTAAATATCCACCGCTAATCACTTCGCCTTCGGCGAATAATTGTTAAATATTCACCTCGACTTTGTCTCGGTGATTAATCCCCAAAATGATTAATCCCCGGGCGAATAAATGTTAATTTTATAACTGTTCAAGTGCCTTGCTTATTATGAGTGAAACACTTCGAATCAGGTTGTAGTAAGCTTGAGGTAGTAAACCTAAAAAAAGGATGCTATATGGGATAACACCTGGCCCATCATGAACTAAACAGGCTTTATTTTTGAGCCTCGATTATTTTCAATCACTAACTCACCGTCATGTTTCTCCATGATTTTGTATTCCTAATATCCAATATATTGCTTGCTGGACCCAATATGTTAAGATTGTTATCAGAAATATTTAGATGAACGATTTGTTGGAGTATTCTGGCTATAATAGTAATATTTTGTGGGTCTATTCCTTTTTCTCTTTGTTCTTTGTCCATCTTATCAAGGTTTGTTACGTTTAACAGATCGTCGATAACTTTTGTAGCGACCTTTTTTCGGACTTCATCTGATAAATTTTCACGATAGAGATCATCGACCTGAAAATTAAGGAGGTAGGTAATCTTCGAGTCAAGCCCTTAGAGTTAAGCCACAACCACGCCCAAAACATGCCCGGATCATGGACGTAGTACAGTATTTGTCCCGTACTATTTGTTCATGAGTAATTTCAGGTAAACTTCTATAGGTAATTCAAACTGATTTTCAGGTAAATTATAACAGCACTGACAGGCAAACGTGGAAGTTAAAAAGGAAAGCAAGTTAAGAATGCCAAATTTTACTGATTACATTTCCGGGCTTTCTGACGATTTAAATCTTCGAACCTTTTCTGGGAGCATTCCCCCTCCCCTCTCCCCCAATAATCATTCATTTGCGTTTCAGTATCATCATCTTAAAATTTTACCAAAGGTTTTTGATAATTATTTTATCACAAAAAATGAAATACACCATCATGACACGAGAAATTCATCAAAATGGCGAATTCTGTGAAACATATTACTCTTTCCATCAAAGGAGTTGATGTATGGAATAAATTGACATCGAGTTTAGAATACATTATAATAACTCTTATAACACATTCCGGAAAAACAACTTACAGAATTTTTTAATGAAAGTAGTTATAGACTCATAAGAAAAACTAAACCATGTAAATCATTTTTGTAAATATAGTATCTTGGAATATTGCATGCATTTCAAATGCATATATATAGGACAATATGTCTCGTCATATATAATAGCTAACATTTTTATCTCCATATTGTATTAAATCTGCACAACTCTACTTCTTTACTGAAACATTGCAAACATTATATGCTGTATTATAAAAAAATTCTTTCCTTTATTTCATTCCACTGTATTGTTAAGAAGTAATTTTAATACGTAATATGTACTTAACATAACTATAGAGGGCTTGATAAAAGCCTATTAAGATTTCTATTAGGGCTCTAGCCCTATCACTTGTAAATATTACCTGCATTGTTCGGTTATGTAATTTTGTACATAGGGGAAAAATAATCAAACAAAAAGTGTAGAAAACTTTGCGGTCTCGATGGTCGGACTGAGGAGAGAGCCACATTTAAATTTCTTGATCTATACTGAATTTGACTATTAGTTCTCCTAAAGTTAAGAATGTTTTAGGAGATGAAATCCGATCCATTCTTGGAATTAAAGACGTACGTAGAAGCTCAAAATAATATTCATAAATAATATTTATAAAACTAAATAATGTTTATATATTCTCTTGCCTTTTTGTCCAGTTCACTAAGTATGCCATTGTTGCTTTTGGTATCCACTTTCTTTGTGCTTAAATCTGGTAAAGAAGTTAGACGCGAATCTAAAGAATATGCAGGTGTAGCTGTAAAAGGTGTTGTCGTATTTCCTCCTGGTGATGGGAATAGAAGGTAAACTAGCACAATAAAACAGCATAATTGAATAGCTTGTTAAAGGTGCCATACAGTCCGTATGTAAACAAAGCCTTTGTTTACATTTTTCTGTCCAAAATATTGAGCTTTATTCGACAACTATTTATATTTTCAAGCTTCTAGAGTATAATAAATGATAGCCCGATAACAGACCTACGTTTCACCCGCCCTAAAATTCGTCGACGGAAAGGGCGAAACGTAGGTCTGATGGAAATGTTGTCAAAAGCGCCTTCCGCCCACTTTGCATTTTGCAATAATTAACGATGATGATTGACACATACATGTAATACCTAAAAATACAATGAAAGTTGTTGATTTCACTTTATTGCAAGTTTGTAAACTAGTAAGAGTCGATAAGTTCAGATATTCGAATAAATATTTAAAGTATTGGTAACCCCATGGAGCCCGTTGCTTTTATATACTTAAACCTTGGTAAATGAACAGTTACAGCTAGTAATAATACAACATTTTCATTTTTTAACACATTCTATAAATGCGATAAAATCTGCTTACGCAAATTTGGCAATGGCCAATGTGCCATTGTTGAATTGCATCACAACTCTTACAATTTATACATTTTCAAATCGCCATACAATGGTAAAATCTAAATAAAATATTTTGTACGTGCTATGCATTGTATTATTGGATTTAAAAAAGGCCTTTGATACTGTAAACCATGATATTTTGGTGCGGAAATTTGAGCTATACGGTGTCTATGACAGTGCCTTAACCATGATACAATCATACTTGTCTGATCGCAAACAGAAATGCCAACTGGGAGACGTAATGTCATCTGAGTGGCATGTGACATGCGCTATTCCACAGGGATCCATCCTTGGTCCACTTGTCTTCCTCTTATATATAAATGATCTTCCAGAATGTCTTCATGAAGCTGCCCCTCGGCTATTTGCCGATGACACCAATCTTACGGTAGCTGGTGAGTCAATAGAGGAAGTTGAGTTGGCCATGAATATCTTCAAAAACTGCAAAATAGAGCGGCGAGAATAGTAATGAGTATGACAAATGATACCCCTGGATTAGAAGCAATTACTGCCTTAGGGTGGGAAACTCTTGAGTCTCAGCGAGCTAAGTCTAAAGCAGTACAAATGTACAAAGTTTTAAATGATTTGTCCCCAAATGCACTTGTTAATCTTTTTATGCGTAAAAGTGATGTCACAGATTACGAGCTTAGGGGTTCCTCTACATCACTGCAAATCCCTTTTCCCAGGACTGAAAATATTAAGAAAAGTTTTTCTTACGACGGGGCGAAATTGTGGCATTCCTTACCTGAAGATTTGCGTGATTCGGCTACCTTGCCAATATTTAAAAGTCGAATTAGTGCTCACAATTTCTCATAATATAATGTAAATATAATTATTATGGTATAATATTAGGTTGACTATTGTAAATATGTTCATTTTTAATGTTTGTTACTATTTATAATGTAATTGACACGCCACTCGTGGAAATCAGCGAAAGTTGACGAGGCTAGCGTGTGATTTTTAAATAAAGTTTATCATCATCATATCAAAATGTAAATCATGAATGCGCACATATTTGTATCCGAGTTTTACTATGATTTATAATCACAAAACTTAGATCGTGTATAAAAAATTATATATTTTTATTGTTTATTACAACGGAAAGATACAACGCTGAAGATCGAATTTGACACGTACTGATCTACTCCCTTCTAGTTTTAATTTTAGACGGTAGATACTGATCATAAACTAGTTGTCGTTCGGCATCACAAAATATTTAGAATATTACACTGTATGCATATTTATATGCGTTGATTTACCGTTGAAAATATTCTGATCTTTTCAAATCTTTTCATGTTAGCGACCAACCAATCACAACCCATTTCCCTGT